CCCCCCTTGTTCCCCATTATGTTCCCCCCCGGCCCAGCCCACAACACTGAGACGGCCTTCTTCTCTTCTGATTGCAGCCAGAGCGGTTTCCTGTGCATGCAGTTCTACCGGCGGGACAGCCACGTCATCGAGCTGCAGACAGGTGAGTTTGAGCTGACTGTGTGTAAGGAAAAGAAACAACAACAAAATTACCTCTGCTCGCGCACTCTAGGAAATTATTTTGCTCTGCCAAGTACTCGGAGCACGAAGGCGGTAAATGCAGATTCCCCCTCCTCTCTGCACCCCTCCCCCTCCCCTCCACGCCGGCCGGTGATGTGTGGTGGTCAGCCTGCTGCGCCACGCCACGCCCTGCCACGCCCTCAACCAAGCCGTTACCATCTACTTCCTCCCCCCCCCTTCTAATTTAGGATGCGCCCCACAAGTCTCTCAATATTCACCGTCCCCCCCGCTTCGTAAATTTTTCGCGTCGGTACTTTGGACTCCGTGTTTATTCGAACTGCCTGCGAGCCAGGCTCGCGCACACACGTTCTGGGCAGCCCCCCAAAGCCCCCCACCCTTTTACACACACAAACACACACACACACACACACACACTGCGGCCCCCTGTCTCTTTTCTCCGCTCCTCCCCCGAAGCTGTCCATGAGAAACACTACGAGGAAAAAGAAGTGCTAAAAATGAGTACCCATGGCAGTTTTAATGTCTCTGTGAAGGCACTAAACCTTTCACACATGCGAGAACACAATGTGCTTATTTGGTGCCTTTGTTTTTCCAGTGAAATTGTAATAAGGTCAATAAAAATTAAGCAAATAAAAACTCTTTAGCCCTATAGAACAACACGTGACTACGTGGAAAACCCATAAGACCGAGGAAGCCGGACCAAGTGCATTGCAGGAAAACCAGAAAAGAATTCCTGCGTCATGACAACAGAAATTGCGTTTGGTTGTGCTGGGGCTCTCCTCGCCGAGCCGCGTGCCGGAAGGCTCCGCCGCGCCCGGCCCTCTCGGTCACGCGCTCCAACAAACCGAGTCCTTTGTTTAACAGTGTCTTGTGTCTTTCATGTCCCCGGGTCGCGGCCCCGTGGCGCCCCCTGTTCCGGCCCACTTAGCTTGAGTTGCCAGTCGCAGGCCGTCGCGCCCGCCCCCTCCCCCGCGGGATAGGGGGGCGGGGGGGGGAGGTATTTTGATTCGCCACATCAGAGCGGCACCAACCACACCACGTGACACTCGCCTACGCTTTCCTATATAACACGGATCACAAGAGACTTTTCTCTTTTTCTTTCTTCTTGTTTTTTTTTTTTTGTCTTTTTTGTATATTGTTTTGTTTTAATTCTCTTTTCCGTAAATCGTGTTATTTTCCTCACGCCGAGTAACACGTCCCGCCCGCCGCGCCGCCGGTCAGAGGTCGATCACCGCGAGGCTTTTGGTTGTGAAGAGGACTCTGAGAGGGGGTAGGGAGGTCGCGGAGCTATGGGGAAGGAGCGGGCGGAGGTAGCTGCTGCTAAGCTTATGGGGAGGCAGAGGGGGGGGGAGCTAAGAGGAGAGGATTTTGAATGCGTCGTGTGCGTGGGAACAAACGCCTCCCCGACGCTGGAGACACCTGTAATGGAATAGGTAGGGGTTGGAGGGGGCAGAGGGGGGTCGAGCCGGCCGGGGTGGCTGGGTAGGGTATGAGGGGGATGGAGTTAGAGGGCTGATTTAGAGCGGGGGACGCTCTTTTCTTCGCCGCCGCCCCGCTATACGCCGCGCTGCTAGGCGGCCCCGCCCTGGCCCCCGTGCACGAGGCAGGCACTCACTATGGGCGCCGCACCCATATCTCACAGGAGTACGTCCCACCCTCCTCCGCGCCGCGCGAGCTTCAACACTATGCCGCTGCTGCCCCTCGCTTTACTCTCCCTCCCTCCCTCCCTCCC